CTTGCTGATGTAGATCTCTCTTTAGGACTCTGTTCACCTCAGATAGAAGCTTTTTCTCCTCTTATGTCCCTTGTGCCTCAGGGGCCGGAGATTGGATAGCGGTCCCCACTTCCAGACAGTTTCTCCCTTAGTTTTTTGAAGTTACATCATTATCCCCGTTTCCTTATTATCTTACTTACCAGAAGCTGCCTCTGTCCTTTCATTAAAGACTAGCTCTTGGCTCAGTTTTCTCCTTTATTTACGTTGTCTTAATGATCCCGGTAGTCTTGTGGATGATAGATCTGAGCCTGTGACCTTGAAGTTCACAGTCTGTCCATCCCATCGGGCCTCTCAGTGATCACACCAGGACCTCCTGTGAACTGGGCGTGGAGCATTGTCCCTCCCACTGCTGACCTTCCACACTCCAACCTCTTTTCTCTCCTTACGCATCACCTGTCCCGTCTTCCAGTGTTTTTCTTGTTCAGCTTGGATTCTGAGTTCATGGTTGCCTCCTTGCACGTGCTCTCCATCCCTCTGGCCTCTTGCGCAGCTAAACCAGGTGATGCTCAGTTATCTGTCTCCTTCATACCTGCTGTCTGCAAGAAGCTCAACATTCCTGGAGGGTAGCAGCAGTCTGGTTTTCCCATTTGTGTTTGCAAGGCTCAGGTGGATTCCCAGTGCTGCTTAGCAAGTTCACCATTTCCCTAAAAAAATTGTTTTCCTACTTTGAGACAGTTATTTTACAACTTTTTCATACTCTGTACTTGCCTCCTCGGCATTCGGCTGGTGACCTCTTACACATCTTTGAGAAAATAGGAACCACCATTTTTCTTTCTTCCACTTCAGTGCGTGCAGTGCCGTTTCTCCTTTCAGAGGCAGAGACTTGTGTTCCAGGTCCTGTTCCCCGTTATCTTCTCGGGAACCTTGATTCTTCCGGGTTCTCCACGTAATGTTTCTGGCTAGAACACTGGCTGTGTGTCGTCCTAGACTTCCCGTGCTCCTGTCCCTGTCCTCCCCCCGTCTCATCCAGGTAGGATTTCTGGTTCAGTTCCCGAAAAGAAAGTGGGGTCAGCCCGTGTCGGGCCATCTGCACTGCTCACTCTCCCCTGAGCCACCGCGTCCTGCTTGTGCTGCACGTAGTAGCTCCTTCACCGACCTCATGCCACCATTCTTGGTCCTTTCAATCCATCCTTCAGAGTTGCTCATGAATTTTTGAAAACATACAGTAAAATAAGCTGCTTCTGTGTTGAGAATTGTTGCAATATTCCATTCCATTTTTTTTAATGGAGTGTTTGTTGGGGTATAATTTAGTTTCTGATCACTTTTTTTTTAAGACTTTTTTTTTCCTAAGAAGTTTTTATGTTCACATCAATATCGAGAGGAAGGCAGAGAGATCTCCTGTATGCCCCTCAACCCCACTCACGCGTGGCCTCCCCTCCTACCGACATCCCCCACCAGAATGGGGCATTTATTTCAGTCGATGAACCTGCATTCACAACCACTGCATTTTGAGTGAAATGTCCCAGGGCCGCAGAGGCCTGGAGTGACTGGATTCCTGACTGCCCCTCCAGCCTCAGCTGGTTTCCTCTGGCTCTGTTTCACACGTGCTGGCCTGTCCATTCCTGGAGTGGCCAGGCTGTGTCCGACGGTGGACCTTGTGTGTATCCAGTGAGGCCAGGCTTGGTCGCAGCTGACCTGAACCTTAGAATACATCTGATTGTCCTAGAACAGGAGGATATAGGACGCTGATGAGGAACTGCCACAGGGCCTTCGCATTTACCTCCCTATCATGGGAGGACAAGGGAGGCAGTTTGGCGTTGCCTCCTGGGTTCTGATGGAATAGGAGACTTCCCCCCGGAGCCACCGGAGCGCAGCTGCAGGCTGTGACTTGCTTAGCTGCGTCGTGGGACTGGCCCTGCTCCTTATGCTGTGTTGTCGTGTCATCTGGCCCCTTTTCTTTTTGCCTGTTTCCTTGGGACAAGATTCAAGGGGAGCGGGCACCTGTGTTCGTCTTTCTTTTGCTGTCTCTGTAAGTAACGAATGGCCTTAGTCTAACAAGGGCTTGTTTCCTTACTGGCTGAAGCGTCCTGGACGTTCCTGGTCCAGGACTTTGCGGCCTGCATCGCCCTCTCCCTGAGGTAGAGTCTCTCCCCGCCTTGCTGTCCTGGTAGCCCTGCCACAGCTCCCAGTCTCGGATGGTTAGCTGGACTCACAGTAAGTGAGCTGTGATCTAAGTGTTTGCTATCACCTGGGAGGTGCGAGAAGCCTGCAGAGTCGGGTATTCAGTTTGGGCATAGTTAGTAGTGGATAGAAAGGCCTGCAGGTGTCTGGGCTGGGCCGCATGCTGACCCTGAATCCAGGCTTGGAAGCTGGGGCTTTGAGTGGGATATTTTCCCCACTAATCACTGAAGCTTTTGTATTAGAAATAGATTCTGAAGGCTTTTTCTTAGTAGTTATTATCTGTGGGTAGAAAAATGCTGCTTTTTTTTTTTGTATATCGAAGCCTTATTTCCTTCTCTAGATTACACTGATTTTTCTTAAAGTTTTTTTTTTTAAACAGGGTTTGAAAGTCTGTATAGGTTCTTTACATTGGTTTTCCCTTGTTAATGCACCTATTTATTCCCTTCTAAAATGTCGTGGGTTAATCAGCCTATGTTGGCCTTAAAAGAATTATAAATATGTTCAGACCCTGTTGAAAAACCCGATCATTGTAAAGCCTTAAGAACTCAAGGCTGTTACAGATAACAAATGCAGAAATCCAGGTAAGTTAGGCAGAAAGCATAGAAACCACAACAAAGCTTTGGGTCACTTGTTTAATGTACAAAGTCGTTCACAGGTAATTCTTTTCCTTACTTTGTCTTAGTACACATTATGCACAAAAACAGTAAACTGTTAATGCAAGAGACTTAGGTAAGACCAAAAGGAGTACAAATGCTCAGTCCCAGAAATTGCACACAGGTAGAATCGTTTTTCCTTGTTTGTTTTAATGCAGTTTCAAATGGGCTTTTCTTCAGACGTGGAGGAAACACTGCAGCCCAAGATAACAGTGCTCCCTGTCAGCTGTCGATATGTAAAATAGCACCTTTGGGCTGACGTCAGGAAAGAAAAAAGTTTCTCATCTTTCTTAATTAAAGTGTAAGTCGTAAGCAATCCCCAGGTAACAACTACAATAATGGTAATTAGAAGTTTTAAGAGCTCTGCTTTGTTCCAAAATATTCATTGGCTCGGCTGGGAGAGCTGAGCTGTCCGGCAGAGGGGCCAGTCTTCCCCCCATCCCCTCCATGACAATCATAATATCTTAGTGATGTCATTGCTCTAATGAGCTAATTTTCCAGCCAAAAAATAGGCATTTTAGGGCCACCCAAGGACCTTATGCGAAACAAGATAAATGTAGCTATGAGGCCACCTCTCTGTAATGACATCTAACAGCAGCTCAGCGTGAGACTGAATCCCGGGGCACTTGGGAAGACTCCTTCATGCATAGAAAGAGAGAGAGAACAGGAAGACGGGTATATACATCCTATCTTCCTTCAGTTTCTCCACCGCTGTATACCCCAGGGCCGGGAATCGTTCTTGTCTTGATTGTGTTTATGTTTGAACTTATTTGCCTTTTTGGCTTCACTTAAAAAAAACCAAAACAGTAACTGGATTTCATTTTCTTTACAGTTTCAGTTTAATCTTTGATTTTATACAATAAAAGTGACAGTTCTTTAAAAAAAGATGAACAGCATAATTGCCTGTTTTGTGGTATTGATAATACCACAGATTCATGATTATAAAAAGCCAAGGTTTTAGCAGAGCTGTACGTTTATTCTTCAATTTCATTCCTTTGTTTCAATTCCAATTTATTTCTTAGATGAGCAAGAAAATGTGCTTCAAAATACTGTCATTCCGGAGAGAAGTTTTTCTTTTTAGAAAGGCATATCCAGTCCACAAAAGCTCTTTCAGAGCCAAGCCCGTTCATTGTACTGTTGCCACACAGAATATAAAAGAAAATAATCAACATCAAGTTTCAAACATACATAGTTATTTCATATTGTTTGAACCATGAGCAGCCATTGCAGGAAAACCTTTTACAGATTTAAATTCAGGAGTTTAGGATTTAAAAAAGTGAGAGGAAGGGCAGAATAATGCTGAGTTTTTAATCTCTTAGGGAGCTGTATTATTTCCTCATTTCCAGAAAGTCAAAGCCCATTCAAGTTAATTTTGAGAATTTAGGTATCATCTTTTATTAAGACAGTAATGCGTGTTTTTATTTTTCATCCCAGAACCCCTTAGTGTTCAGTGTATCCCTTAATAAATGAGGCCTGATTTTAGCCGGTCATCGCCTGCTGTGAAATGAGCTATGCTAAGGTTTGTACAGAATTTAAATCGTATTTTTGGTGTAATTCAGATAAATAATCCTTTTCCTTACAGAGCAAACAAAATGGAAGTCAGTGTTTTTTGGCTGGTGACTAGACTTTGTTCCCTGGGGAATGTTTGTAAACACATGTCGCCATTGCTGAACCTCAAGAAAAATGGGTTAGGAAAATTGTCAGAAAAAAATGAGTCATGGTCAGTCCCTTGGGTGAGGTTCCAAGATTCCATCACCCAAAGCTTCGTGATCCATCCGTGTGTTTATCTTAAACCTTGAGAATGGAAATGAAAGAAGTTAATACAAAGTGTAGTTTGTTTAAGGTTCATAATACTTTTTATTACACCATTATGTGCAGAAATTTTGGTCCAGTTTAGTTACCTCAACCTGGTTTCTCCTGTGCCTTCAGTCCGTGTTTCTACAAAAGTTTTAAGGAAGATGGGTTTTAAACTTTGTTTCCTGCCTGGCTGAACACCTTGACGTCTTTCGCATGTATATACAGGAACACACACACACACACGTGCTCCCCCCACCCTCCCCCCAACAGACACACAGTTCACGCTGTTGACCTTTGCTTTATTTCTAGGAACTGGGACTACTGGGATTCAGTGTCGGCCACTACTAATGCTGTAGCCTCTGTCTCCTCAGTGGAAGGTAATTTCTTTTCCCTTTTTCCTATGATACCTGTGAAGAACGAGCACACTCAGTTACAAAGTGCGTCGACGTGATCCCTAGATTTGTGCAGTGCGATACCCAGGCTTTGGTTCTGTGTCCATCGTGGTCGCCTTTTCACAATGACAAATAGGACAGCTAACAAAAGTCAATCACCTTGTTGTATGTAAGACATCTTTCTTTGACAGGTCACTATATTTATAATCGTTAATCCAGCTCACTGCAATATTACTCACGCTTCAGTTTTACATGGATATGCAAAGAATACAATAATCGACTGAACTGTCAAACCTAAACAACTCAATTTATTATCACAGAGTCTGTTGAATGTTTTTGCTTCCCAGCTGAGCAAAGGAAATAAATACTGTCGGATTTTTAAAGTGAAGTCTGAATGCTTGGTCATGACTACTCATCCATCAATTTCATGCCTCATGTGGATTAGAAAACAGTACGTTTGACTTAAAAATATTTAATTTTTATTCTCCCTATCATAAGTGCCTCATAGTAGCAAATAAGTTAATTTCAGAACTTTGCCGATTGCTTTGTACCTTTTGTTTTTTCGCTCTTCAGAGAAACAGTAACTTCATCTAACTCGTCAACCAGGATAGTTAATTTGATTAATTTAATGCTCTGTAAAATCATAACATTTGTGATATTTTGAATTTAAGATGAATTAAGCTGCCGTGTTGAAGTAGTCAACCATTAGACGAAGCAGAGGCTCTGTCTCTGATTTTTGCGCTGCACCATCCAGTGTGGTTAATTTGAGTTGAGATACGCTGTAAGGACAAAATACATACTGGATTTTGAAGACTTGGTTCATAAAATAAGACATAAAATATCTCAATAATTTTTACATTGATAATTAAAGGATAACTTGGGTATATATAGTGTTAAATAAAATATAGTATCAAAATTAATTTCACCTATTTTTACTTAGAATCTTCTAGTGGGGCTACTAGAAAATATTAAATTTGCACATGTGGCCCTGCATTTGTGGGTCACATAATATTTCTGTCTGATAACACTGGTTTAGAGAGACTAGGTGAAATGCAGGGCTTCCGTGGGTATTTAACAGAGCTAACTGAACCCCAAAAATCTCTGAAAAATCTACTGTTGATGACTTAAACATAATTCCAAGTACTAACATCTTCCAAGTGTGTATTGCATCTATTTTAAAAACATGCATCTGTCAAAACAACTGGACTCCACTATAGCCATAAAAACCTGTTAGCTGTCAAAAGTATGAATATCAAAATACACGTCTTCCAAGTTTGCTTCTGATGTGCCTCAGGGATAATGCAGTTTCAAGCTGAAAACCAAATGTGTTTGTTATTCCCAGATGAGATAGTTAACAGTACGGGGCCCTAGAAGAAACAGACGTTGCAGTTCTAGTCTGTACTCGTGAACTCTCCCCTGCTGCTGTGAAGACTCGGGTCTGTCCACTTAGTCTCCTCCTTTCCTAAAAGCGACCCTTGTGCTAGTGGTTCTTGATGAACTGTCTCAGAAGTCATTTTCCAGCAGACCTGTCACGTTTCCTGTTCACACTTGGTAACTCTGCTTCGTGGGATCCTGGTCACTTGGTGGCTCCTCTCCTTCCCTTTTTGAGCAAAGTGAGGACAAATGAGTCAGAGAGAGGAGAGGAGGGGGGGGTGACGAACTCAGGATCACGGCTGTCAACTGCGGTAGCCGAGGGCCAGACCGAGCTCTCAGGGACGCGGTCCCGGCCGGCCCCGTCACACCGGTATGACTTCCGGGGGGCCGCCCTCCGCAGACGGCAGTGAGTTGGTTCCCGTTTGTGACACAGGCACGACCCCGGCCTCCTTGGCGTCCGTGTTCACGGTGCACGAGTTCTTGTCCAGCCTCTTGGCCGTGTCTGGGCAGTTCTGCACAAAGATGACGCGGTTGTAGGCCTTCAGCCTGCGCCACAGCTGGACGTAGACTTTGCACTGTACGTACATGAAGACCAGCCCTCCTGTGAAGCCAATGGCCACCACAACCAGTTTTGTCCAAAATGGCCATTCGAGGACACCTTTGAAAGACAAGGGAGAACGTTATCACCAAGTTGTTATCAGTGGTTTTGGTGATTTTTTCCCCCTATATTTCCATCAAAGTACCATGCCTGCCTGCTGAATTTCACAGATAAGGAATAAATTCTTAACTAGTAACAATTGGAACCTGAACTGCTGAATTGCTTGCAGATATTCTAGAGGTATTGTCAACACTGTACAGGAAGAAGTTCTCTCACCTGCTGCTCCAACCACATCTCTCGTGCCTCTTAGCACCAAGGACCTACTGTGCTCATCAGATACCACGTGAGACTGACCGACTTCGACATTGATTCCTTACAGCTAAATCTTTTAAGGAAGAATAGTGAACATACCGAGTGAAAGAATCAGATGTTAAGATCCTTTTAAGAAGGTAAAGTAAAGTAATAGGTGCATGTGTGGGACCCACAGGCCCACCACCACGCCGTCATTCCCTTTAAAATTAAAAGAAGAAAAAAAGCTGCCACATCTCACCAGAGAGAAAAAATTCCTGAGTTCAGACGAGTACGCGATTTAGGATGCCATCCGTTTTATAAATCTGTTTTGTTACTGAGAACCATCTCTTAGACATTCTCCATCTTAATTTCCATCACCATAACTAGAAATGGACTTTGTTTTACAAACAGTTTTTAAAACTATTTCACGAGAGATTATGTAAGTACAACAGTACTGAGGCTGCACATAATCACACAGTTAAGTACATGACGCTGAAGAGTCCACCTCCTGCCAGCGTCGGGGTGGCCTGGAGGATATGTCTGCCTTCGTTCACGTGACGGGCTGTCACATAAAAGAGGAGGGTGGGTTGGCGTTTAGGGGAATCAGTGATTCTACTGTGGGTTTTACTTACTTTTTCTTATAATAGTGAATAGAGTAGAAAGAAACATCCTACCCACTTTTTGTAATAGTGATATTTACTTTATGCTCCTGGAAGCAAAACACTCCGCCCTGTTTGCGTCGTGTTAAAGGGCTTCCCTGGCTCCCTCGTCCTGTCTTGCAAGAGCAGGCCTGGCCCACTGAGGACCAGCGGTTCTCAGCTGGGGGCGGCTGTGTTCCTGGGGCCACACCGGGCAGTTCCTGACTGGGTGGGGTGCTGCTGGCTCAGGAGATCGAGGCCTGTGATGCGGCTTGCGGACACCCTTCCGGGTGTAGGACAGCACCCCCGACCAGGAGCTACCGGTCCGCGGTGTCAGTGGTGCCGAGGCCGACAAGCCATGTCACAGAAGGCCACCACGTGAGCTTTACCGGCGACTCTGTAGGGAGGACTCAAATTAGACATCTTGGAGTTCTCCAAATTCAGAAGGCTTTTTGCTCTTGGCTGTTCAGTTGAGCAGTAACTGCTCCTTGTTTAGGAGGATTTTAACCACAGACAAGCTGGAGAGGAAGTGTGGTTAGCGTCCATTTTTAGGTTGATCCCCACGGATTCCGGCTCCCGTTCCCCTCGGGCTGCGACCTCGGGCTGCCGACTGTTCTGTAAGTGCCTGGAGATCTTCTCTTCCTGAGCCTTTGCCCACGGTACTTGCCTGGGATTCTGCTTCTGTTCCTGCGTGTCTGCCTGTCCCATAAAACTTGACTCAGAAGTACTTTAAGCTTTTCCACGCGCCCCAGTTTCACGTGACCTCTTACACTTGTGGCGCGAGTTCGCTGTGCCATCAGTGATTTCTACTCCGCTCTGCCGTGATCCTGACAGGCGCAGAGTCTGTGTCTGCTTGGTCTTTGTTTCCCACAGTGGCTGGCTCAGTACGTATTTCAAAGATGAGTAAAAGCTTTTTAAAATTCTGACTTTGATTGTGCTGCCTCAGTCTTTTCAGCATAAGACAGGACAGCCTTTGTTGACTTGTCAGTGGAACTGCACTTCCCTTGGACAGCCTGAAGAAGACCCCACCCTTGCCCCACCCCTCCTTCCAGAGACAGTGACCAGAAACCACGGAAATACCCAAGAATCCAGGCCGGGAGTCGCCAGCTGCCTTTTTCTCCTCCAGTTCTAGGAGACTGCTCCCCCGCCTCCTTTCACAGGGTGTCTGAGTCCGTCTTCTCTGCTCAAGTCAGTCCTCCTTGCTGCGTTCTTGGGGAGTCCAAGCGCCTGCTGTTTCCCTGGACGAAGTTTAGACGGGAGGGTACCCCCCACCCCACAGCCGAAGGCCACTCGGGTACAAACCCACTGTCCAGAGGACCGTCTTCCAAAGACAGCCTGGTCTTTCTCTTTGCCTTTTTCCTAGTGGACAGGATGTTTGTTTTCTTTATAGAAATTATCATTGAGCAGTTCAAGATTTTATCTTGGGAAGCTCACCATCAGGACATCTTGAGAGGAGGTGCCAAAATGAGGCTAAGGGGGCTCTGCAAAGTCGCTTTCCTTGGTGAGATGCGTTTGCTTCCTTTCATTAGACTGAGCACGTGGTCTTCATGCTCCGTTGTGCAGGGCTAGTCAGTTCTGTGACGGAGCGAGAATGAGCCCCGGGAGGCGGTGAAGACGGGCGCGGGGCCGGCTCCCCGCGGGCCCCTTGCATGAGCCAAGGAGTTCTCTGTTCTCACTCGTGCATACTTGAAGCTAGAGCCTGACCTTGGAAATGCCAAGAGCACAAAGTTGTCTCTGCTTGCCAGTTCGAAAGAGGAGTTTGGAAAATCCAACTTCAGGCAGTGCAACCATCTCTTCTCTTCTCTATAGACTTCTCTTCTCGACCTCTGCCTTTGTGCCGGGGGTCTTCCTTCAGGAGTTTCTGCAGGTTTAGGAAGAAACTCTGCCCACACCTACCTCCTAACCGTGGGCAGGAGACAGATGATGCTTGGAAATTGCTGGACAGGAACTGGAAGAGCAGATATTCTGGTCAGCAGTCATTTTCTAAGGAAATGGGGATCTTCTCTTGTCCCTCGTAATAGATGAACGTAATTGATTCATTCACTTTCCATATCGTCATGCCAGCCTCACAAGAATGGGCAGTAAATTCTCAAGCAGCCTCAGCAGACAGTTAAAATAACATCTTCCAGGCCCCCTTGGTCTGATCGCCTCTGTGTGACGTGGTACTTGAGGGCTGCAGCAGCTTCCAGGCCATCCCAAGACAGTCGGCACACGAAGAGGTTTTCCAGGAAAGGCTTCCGATGGTCTGTAGGCTGGTCCGGTGATGTGCTATGGAGGACTTCACGATTTAGCGTTAGGTGAATCTCAAGTGCTGCGTTCTATCTGCCCGAAAGTGCAGTCCTTCCAAAACCACAGAAAGCAGGACACAGTTTGTAAAGAGATGTCTGTTTAGACAGCGAGTGAAAGCCCTTTAGACAAAGACAGGCAGGCGGGCCATTCAGTTCATCGTAGGCTTTGGGGAGTCTGCATCTAGGCAGGATTTTTCTAAGGAGCCAGAGGGAAAAGAGGAAGTTCTGGTAAGAGTAGCTCTGCGGATCTTGAACGAAAAGGTAAACATGAACGAAAGTAAAGTTTGCAATTTTTTTTTTCAAATAACCCCCCCGCCCATCTTCCTCAAGGCACCCTCCACTGAGTCTGAGTCAGGAGACACGGGCTGGGGATAAGGGCCTTCCCCTCAGGAACCCAAGGCTCGAGTCCACCAACAGGACCATGTCCACCAGCTCTGTCATCTTCTTTATGGTCACTATTTCCTCATTTTCACCCAGAAACCCCCCTTTCCCTGGCTAAGAAATACCCAAATCCTAAAGGATTCAACTTGCCTACAATTTCGTTGCAGATCAGACCTTACTCAGGTCTCCCTTATTGTGGTCAGTGGCTTCTCAAGGGCTGTTTCCTTCAAAAATAGAGATTTTGCGCAGGGAGATAGCCCCGTATCACATATTTCCAACCTCTTCCTTAACTAGTTCTAAGGGTAACAGTCACTGCGTGAACACGGACGACACACGCACAGCATCTGTGTAACCCAGTGCTTCAGTTTCTCTGATGCAAGGTCATGTTCACGGTGTATTTGAAAAATGAATCATAGAAAGAAACCTTGAAGGATGTTCAGTCCAACTTAGAGAAAATGAGAAAAGCGAGCTGCGGGGTGATTAATTATTTACTCAAGGTACCTGGCCCACGACCAAGGCGGAAGCAGACCCCCGCCCTCTGACCTCTAGCGGGGTCGGTGGTTACCATGTTTGGATTGTGAACAATAACAGCACATGCAGTTACGTTAAAAAAGGAATGCTTATCCAACAGCGCTGAAAAGGAAAGTGTTCTGTGGGTCGCAGGGAAGTGATTTTTAACACATTCCCTAAGCCCCCTTCAACGTCCAGCAGGGCTGCCCAGCCCTGGATGTGCTCTGAGGCCCTCGGGGGAGTCAGACGTGAACAGAATCAACTTGCTGTGCTGGTCCTCGTGGTGAATTCATTTAAATGGCCCTGCGGCAGCCTTAACATCAGCGCCTACAGCCTCTTTAATAGACAGGAGGAATTGTTCCATTTTCTTGGTCTGTATTTTTATGATTTGATTTCAACACAGGGTGTCCCGGAGCATTCTGCCAGAATATGTAAAGATGAGGCGGGAGGAGCGACTGCCCCCCTCGCACCCCCGCCCCTAGTTAGAGTTGGCAACATGGGTAATTTAGGGTGTTAAAGTTTTAAGAGCCAAGCATTTGTCTTTTGTTTTGTCATCACAGGTAACAGAACGAGAGCGATGTGGGGCACGACGCATATTTAATCTGAAAGGACAGCCGGTGAAAAACATACCAAGGACTTTTTCCTGCAGTTACTACAGCTCAGAAGATGTGGCTGTTTTACATTCAATCTCCACTGTGGCTAAAGAACGGCAATTTCCTTCTCAAATGTTTCTGAAGGTTTTCAAGATGCACTTAAAATATTTTGACTTTTAAATTATGCAGTTTTTTTCCCAAAAACTTTAAAAGCAAGTTCAGGGTCTGCTCTCGCAGTTCCAATGCCAAAGGAGGATGCCAATGACAACCCAGACAGACGCCCCCGCTTCCCGGAGATGTGCGCTGCGGGCAGTCAGGTGTTAAAGACAATCCGAACATAAGCACAGGGAGACTTTCACCGAAAAAACTTCCACAAAAGTCACCACGGTCCCATTTGACGTTACCCAAGCCTGGAGCCGTCCCACCTGCAAGGAACAGCCCCGGGACCACTTCTTGACAGAGATCGTGCTTCCTAACTCGGGGGCTCTGAACACCAAACATGAAAGTTACCTCACCTTCACTTGCTTTTGAGAAACTGAAAATAATTTGTAAAAATATATGGTAGAAAGTTGACCCTATATACTGTGTGTCTAGACACATGGAAAGATGAGAGAGAGAGGGGGAGGGAGATGTAGACAGAGACGTCAGAAAGCTGGCCTTTGTCATTCAGGCTTCTGCTGGGAACTGTGACTAGGAACCTGAGCGACAGTACACTGGGGACTGCGGTCTGAAATCCTGTATCCACCCAAAACTGAGAAAGGAAAAAATACTCTGAAGAACAAGTCTAGAAGAATGGCAAAGGTGGAAAAGTTCGTGCCACTTCTTCCACGCTGGGTCCCGGACACTTGGCTCGGCGCCAGGGATGTGCTGGTGAACCCAGCAGACACGGCCGGCCCTGCTCTGAGCTCCGTCTGCTCATGAGGGAGGTGGACAATTAAATGAGCAATTACAGTAGCGCCTGATACTCCTCCTGGTAGGGCAGAGCTGCACAGCGTGACTGCACAACAGAACTGAGTAAGGGCTAACTAACCCTGAACCTTGGGATGGGGCTGGGCAGGGGTGGTGCTGTATAGCTCAGGGGTACAGCACATGCTTAGCATGCGTGAGGCCCTGGGTTCAATCCCCAGGACCTCCATTGAAAAATAAATCAAAGTATTAAGATCTCTAAGAGAATAAATAAAAACCCAGGCTTTGCAGTGGTGTCGAAACTGCACAGGTGATTCTCTGGGTGGTCAAAGGTGGGGAGAGTGCAGGATGAGCACGTGCTCTCTGACAGGGCGTGGGGGTTGCCTGCTGGCTGCTTCCACTCCCAGTGCTGGGCCCCACCTCAGGGCCTCTGATTCACAGGTCTGAGCTGGGGAGAGGCCAAGGGTCTGCATTTCCGACAAGTGCCCAGGTGATGCAGATGCTGCTGGTTTGGGAGCCACTGAGGTAGAAAGTCATTCTGGTTCAGGGAGCTGAGCTAGGTTTCCTGGAGGGAGTGATGTTCAAGGTCAAGTGCAAAGGCTGAGTGGGGTCGGAGAGGTGTGTGATGTAACATGTTTGTGTGAGGAGCGTGCAGAGGTGCACACGAGCAGCTGGGAGGAAATGTTCACGTCCAGAGAAGTCGAGCAGGGTCTAGAAGCGAATTTGGGGGCTGAAGTGATGCTCAGCAGAGCCAGCCGCAGGTCATGGGGTCAGCAGGGCCCCCTTACAGAGTCATTTCAAGAATGATGAGTACATAGGGACAGAAGGCGGTCAGATGTGTGTTTGTAAATTTGCTGTGACAGCGTTATTGGTTGTGGGTCGAAGGCGGGCGAAACTGGAGGAAGCCTAAAATTAAGGAGCAGTTGCCGTTTCTCAGTAGAAGTTGTGACAGTGCGCACGCGGCGGGTGGCAGCGGGGAGGGGTTCCAGAGGTGTGTGCGGCAGACCGAATGCCATGTGGTGATTGACGCCGGTGGACGTGGGTGGGCTGGGGTATGCGGGATGGAAGCTGGGTTGGCTTGGGTCACGGGGCTTAGCAGTCCTTTCCTGCAGGTGCTGGAGTGGGAGGTGATGGTAGGTTATGGACTGGACACTGAGCTTGAGTGCCTGACAGACCTCTACGTGGGAAGGTTCCGGAGGTAGGTGGAGGCGCGACTGGGGTGCAGGAGGAGCCGGAGGTGAATGTGGGGGGGCAGCTCGCCATCACAGAAATGGCATCTGAAGACATACGTTTGCCCTGGTAGAACCAGGGTCGGGGGAGGGTGTGGAAGGAAGTTGGGGCTGTGGGTTTCTCGGGTTCTGGAGAGACTTGGCTGCAGCTGAGACAGTCACGTCCACTGTAGGATAAATGAGTGTTGTTCACGCACGTGTCAGAAGTGGGATTGGCTAAATAAGAGAGAGGTTCTGCACCGCCTGCCCGTGGACCATGTGAGGTTGCTTCCTGTGATTCTGTTGGGGAGGGAGGGGTG